CAATGGTGGAGGGCAGGCCTGGTGGGCAGGGCCTCCGTGTGGGCGGGGATTAATGGCGGAGCCCAGGCCTGGTGGGAGACGCCTGCCTCTGCTCTGCCATTGATCCCAGAGCCCCAGCTCTGGGTGGGCAGGGCAGGCAGGGCCTCCCTGTGGGTGGTGATTGATCGCAGAGCACAGGCCAGGTGGAAAGGACCTCCCTGTGGGCGGGGATTAATGGTGGAGGGCAGGCCAGGTGGGAAACTCCTGCCTCTGCTCTGCCATTGATCCCAGAGCCCCAGCCTGGGATCCTTCTGCACAGCATTGATCACAGAGCCCTGGCAGGGTGGGCAGGCAAGCCGGGGGGAGTGGGGAGGCAGTTGACGGCAAGGGGCGGCAGTTGGGGGCAAGAAGGCCGGCAGGCGGAGTGGTTAGGGGTGATCAGGCAGGCAGGCAGGTGAGCAGTTAGGAGCCAGCAGTCCTGGATTGCAAGAGGGATGTTTGACTGCCAGTTTAGGCCCGATCCCAGTCAGACATCCCCCAAGGGGTCCCAGATTGGAGAGGATGCCCCAGATTGGAGAGGGTGCAGGCTGGGCTGAGGAACACCCCTCCCACCCCCCACCCCCCACCCTGTGCACAAATTTCGTGCATCGGGCCACTAGTATAATATAATCATATTTATGCAATATAAAAAGAATAAAAATCAACTCCTAATGGTGTAGGAAATTTAAAAAGCTGGCGGGTAAAATCCTCCAAAATATGTTCCTCCATAAAAGCAGTAAAAATACTGGGGGAAAAATGTTAAAATCAAATCTTTTAGAACTTTGGGATTTAACCAAAGGCTTGCATTTTTCACTATTCAAGAAAGATCACAGTAAGAACTATGAGCTTTGTAGCATTTTAAATTGCCCTATTACCTTTACCCTCTCCTCAGTTCTATGATGGCCTTGCAAACAGGGTAACTATGAAAACTGGCAACTTAGGAGGCCATGGAGAGGGTAGAATGGATTTGAACCTCCCCAAAAGTCATCCCCAGAGAATCGTCACCATTCAACCTATCTGGAAGCACCCTGGAAAGGATTCATTCTCAGGGCTGGTCTTTATTTGACCTGACTGGGAGCTCTCTCTATGCAAACAGCTCTATCCCGAGTGCACTCATCAAACACAATCTGTGGCAATTATTTAACATCACAACTTCCCAAGGCAAGAATCCTGGTGGGAAATAAGAGGCTGACAAAAGCTTTGAAAGGAAAAACAGGAATGAGGAGTCCATAGGCCCCTTTGAAAAGCTCTGACACATGCCTTGGGATCTTCGAAGGCCAGGAGCATGTGCAAGGCTGTGCACATAACCAAGAAAGACAGGAGAGGCCAGTCACAAAAGCCACGTCTTGCTGATGTGATGCCCTTTACATGAAATGTTCAGAATGGCAAACCCATAGAGACGAAAAGTAGATTAGTTTTGGACCCAAGCAGGGCAAAGGGAAAGGAAGGAGTAATGAATGCGGCACTTCTTTCTGCAGTGATAAATATGTTCTAAAATATCTCTATCTAGAGAGCAGTCATGGTTGTACAGCCCTGTGAATATAGTTTTTAAATACTTAATTGTATATATTAAACGGGTGAACTTAAGGTATCCTGGCTTTATTTCAAAAAGCATTTTTTAAATAAGTGAGGGGTATAATGTATTTTCATCCGATATAAGAGATCTAGGAGCTGGCGACTAAAACAGAACACTTTAACCTTTCAGTGCCTTAACCCACTCCTGTCACTTTAGTTCCTGATCAGTTTCTAGTTATTCTGCTGTGTGCCATATTTTTTTTAACCCAAAAGCTCTAGGTTGGCCAAAGAACTTTTCTCTTTCCTTAAAATTCAATTTATGTTTAAATATTTATAAAATACATAAGGAATCACGTGAAAATAAAAACCCACATACAGAATGCAACCTAGGGAAATCCCTTGCTGAAATGTAGCATGAAAGCTACCTATGGGCCTTTTTTCCTTTCCATATTACAACTGGTTTTCCAAATGCAACTGATGAAACTCCAGAAGTAGCAGATGTCACATACGCCTATTTCACATTCACAAAGCCCAGCTTTGCTGCACAGTGTAAAGCAGGGGGATTAGGGAAATTGTGGTTAAAACTTTACAAACTGCAATATTCTATGCTTTGGCAGGATATTAAGCTCCCCCCCCCCCACCCCCCTCCCCACCCCCACCCCCAAGGAAATGTCTTAAGAAAAGGCTATTTCCTGATACCTTTTGCCAGGAGTTCTCCCTTGGTTTTCTACCCAAAATATCTGAGAAGAACAGGATGTCTGGCTACTGTATTTTTGGACTGAAATGGACTTAAATAGCTTTTACATATGCCTGGAATTTAAAATGACATTTTCATTAGAGAATGATTGAAAACAGAAATAATGCAAATTCCCTGCTAGGTGTTAATACAGACACAACGCATTAAATGATGCTTTAAACAGAACTGGCTAAATAAATACCAAGTGCAGAAGTGTGATTAGGCATTACTAACAAAAAGTGATAAATCAGATACTACAATTTTGAAATGGTGGCAGTTTATTCATTCAACAATTATTTTTTGCTGATCATGGGATAGGCAGCAATAAACAAAACAGACTACTCTTCTACTTGCTTGGAGCTTAAAATTTGCTCAGTGCCCAGATGGCATGGCTCAGTGGTTGAGCATCGACCTACGAACCAGGAAGTCATGGTTTGACTCCCTGTCCGGGCACATGCCTGGGTTGTGCGTTTGATCCCCAGTGTGGGTTGTGCAGGAGGCAGCCGATCACTGATTCTCATCATTGATGTTTCTGTCTCTCTCTCTCCCTCTCTCTTCCTCTCTGAAATCAATAAAAATACATACATTTTTTTAAATGGACTCAGTAATGCTCCTGCCACTGCAAAAAAGCAATGATATTGACTGAGGAAGGATGCAATACTTGAAAGAGCACTGGTCTAGGAGTCCTAGGATCTGAATCCTAATTCCATGTCTACCGATTGATTACTACACAAGTGATACCAGACACGGCAACTTAATTTCCCTAATCCTTAATTTTGTATCTTGAAAACTGGTACATATTGCCTGTCCTGTGTACCTCATCAGTTAGTTATAAGAACTACAGAGAAAATACGCACACATGTCCCAAAAACTACCAAAAACTCTAGAATAGCAGGGTAGCAATACTGCTGGAATGTATGAAAAACTATCAAATCTCTTGCAATAAACTATGTTAGTTAATATAGACAGTCTATTGAGGGTCATGTAGTCTAACAGTAAAGCTCAATTCAAACAATCAAGACATTAACAACCTAGAATGACATATATTCAAAGGTTTCAGCCTTTCTGCATTTAATCATTCTCATTTTACCTGGATTTCCTTTACATGTCAACTTACATTCATGTTCTCAAGCAATCTTCCAGCCACAGGAAGAAAAGAATGAGTCAAACAGACTCCCATCAAACTTCCAAACTGAGCAACCAGTACCATATGTTTCTTTACTCTTTAGGGTACGTGTCTGTCACCTCAACTGGAATCTCAACAAATAATGGAGCTTTCAAAATCGAGACAAATCCACTTAGCGAAAGAAAATAACAATGGCTGTAATTGCAACCACATTAACTGGGCTGAGTTTTTGCTTAAATGACTTTTGCACTTCTGATGGAAAAATACTGTCCTTGAGAATAATGAAGTGCTAAAGGCATGACCAAATTATTTTTTAAAAAAAACCTCAAAATTAAACTCAGGAGGAACATACATTTGACTTGGCATAATTTGGGTTTGCAGTATCACTGTCAGGTAATGAATACAAACCTGTATGAATCACTGGTGAACACCGAGTCTAAGGAACAGGTAATGCCTATTGGTGCCATGTGAAACAATGGAGTCCGAACAGTCTGTCTCTTTGGAGAAATGGAATAATCCTGCTTTTCTTCAGACCCTGCAAACATGGACTGTGATAGCCAAGCGTCAGCTCCATCCTTCCCCTCCGGGCTCAGAATGAAAATAAACACTCCGTCCGGGCCCTCAGCTCTGATTGCCCGTGGTGGGTTTTCATGAAAGAGGGAGGAACGAACAAGAAGATGGTGGTGGCTGGTAGGCCTGCTATCGCTCTCAGTCGCATAACTTTGTTTTAGGAGGAAGAAAATAAGAATCAAGACAACCACAGAGTAAGTCCTGACAGAGACGGTGCTGACTGTCTCATCGACGCTGACTGGAGCAGAGCCGAAGCTCTAGGGCACTTTCCACACACATCCACTCCCTTCCACACTGGAAGCTTAGTAACTTGACCAAAAAAACTGAGGGGTGTTGAGGAATAGAGTCACCTTCCAGAGAACATTGTCTGCCACCGTCTCACTGACCCGATCTCCACACTTTCCGTCTTCTCTCTCTCCCAGCTCTTTTACTGGAATAACTGACAAATCTCTCCAGTTGCCCTCTAACAGAAGTTCCACACATGCCATGTTCCTCATGGTATGGTGACCTGTCAGTCACCAGCACGTCCAGTACATTGCACAGTCAGTAAAAGAGGGAGGAGAGTGAGCGAGGAAATAAGAACCCCTGGACATGTCAAAGGCAAATGAGAGGGCGGGTAGCTCCTGTTAAATCACTTGGCGTTCTATTGCAGAACGGGGGTCCCTTCTACCAGGCACCGATAACAAAATAAGTAACATCATTTAAGCATCTCAAAATAAATAACTTTAAAATAGAAGCGCAAACTTTTAGAGGTGAAACCCCCCCCAAAATCAGTACCATTATATTGGGGCAAACACATTTTCATGCCTCAGAAATGTTGAATCGCACAGCGCATCTTCATGGCTCCCTTATGTCCTATCGGGACGGCTGAGCTGAACAGCGCGCTCTGCTAGGCTGCCGGGGAAATGAGTGGAGCTTCGCCTGTATGGTCAGGAAGTGATTGTGATTTATGAGCATCTGTTGCCACACTTAAAAATCCACCTGTGGGTTCCACAGACATTAAAGAGCACATGCATTCAGCACCTTCAGACTTACTTGTGTTCCTGTGACCTTGGTCCCCTGGGAGAGGAGCATCCGTGGTCCAGGCAGGAATGTGTTGGCTGGGATGTGTAGAAGATGTCACAGTGCTCTCAGGGAAAATTGTATTTGTAAGAAGAACATCAGGCACTTGAACTTCACCATCAGTAGCTATGGGTGCGCTCTCATTTGATTTCAAGTAGGCTTTTTGTAATGTTCCTGAAAGACAAAAATATATATTCTTAAAACATTAGGAGAAGGCTTCATTTTTAAGCACATATGAAGAAAACTCTAGAGCTACTTTCCCAAGTCACATTCTACCCAGGCAAACACAAAGGGAAAGCTGATGTTTAGCACAGCTAATCGGTAGAGTTTCTCTTCTGCAAAACACATAACCCTGTGAAAAAACTATTGCTTCCTTACCTAGGTTTTCGGTGCCCAAAGAACTTAGGGCTATTCTACTGCACCTGAGACTTGCCACAAATAAATGAAACATGGTGACACCCACCGGCATGGCTCAGTGGTTGAGCATCGACCCGTGAACCAGGAGGACACAGTTCGACGCCTGGTCCGGGCACATGCCCTGTTGCATGCAGGAGGCAGCCAATCAATAATTCTCTCTCATCATTGATGTCTCTCTCTCTCTCTCTCTCTCTTTCTCTCTCTCTCTCGTCTCCTCCTCTCTCCCTTCCTCTCTGAAATGAATAAAAATATATTTTAAAACAACAATAAAACGTTGTGAATCTTACAGTATTTCCTTCCTGCCTTCTCTTTCTCAATTTGCACCCAGGACACGTGTTCTCCATATCTCCATCTGCCACCCAGGACACGTGTTCTCCATATCTCCATCTGCCACCAAAGGGCACAGTAGTGCCTCCTTAGCCTTCTCCTTAGGTTTCTTCGCATTTTGCACTAAATTTCAGTGAACTATGCATCACAGAAAATTAAAAATAATAGGGCTCATATATTTACCAATAGAAAAAATATATCAAAAAAGTGAAATTCTAGCCCTGACTGGTTTGGCTCAGTGGATGGCGCGTCGGCCTATGGACTGAAGGGTCCCGGGTTTGATTCTGGTCAAGGGCATGTACCTTGGTTGCAGGCACATCCCTAGTAGGGGGTTTGCAGGAGGCAGCTGATGGATGTTTCTCTCTCATCGATGTTTCTAACTCTCTATCCCTCTCCCTAACTCTCTGTAAAAAAATCAATAAAATATATTTTTTTAAAAAGTGAAATTCTAAATCCCACAAAAAAAGAAGAAACTAAATTATCTTCATTTTAATAATTACAAGAAATAAGAAATAGTCATTAAACTAACATTATCAACTGGACATTTTCTCAACCTATTCATTCATTGACAAAATAAAGAGTCAAACATGACCACTGGGGACCACCTAGCTTTGACTTCAGGCAGGAACTTTTGAAAAATTTGAAAGAGATCATGTATTTTTAACTCAGTTAAAATAGATAACAGGCTGTTTCCAGAATATAGCACTGTAGTTGAGAATGCTACTAAAATAAATGAATGTGATATTGATCCATTAGAGAAAAACCCAAGGGAGATTTTTTTTTTCTAAAAACATTTACAGTGAATGCTCTAATTGGTTCTCACATTTCCAAACAGTTCATGGACCATTAAAAATAAAAGAAATATAAATAAAATGTTTAATATCAGTCTATGGAAAAAATTTCTCTACATGTGCTTGACACGTGGTAAACATTAACTACAAATCAAAATAGAAAAGCAGCTGTTTTCTGGCTAACTGAGGTCAACAGCTTCATCTGCCAAAGGATTCTAAATAAAACATTGAGTGTAAAAGCTAAATCATAACCACAGGGTGCAGGTAACACATCCTCCAAAGTGTCTGTGTGATGATGATAAATATCAAATGCAGTAGGTGAAATGAAAGACTTCCTTTAACTATTTTTAAAATGATTTAGAATTTATTCTGGATCAAAATAAATATGTGATAGACTTGATTACTACATAACATGCATTTCATTCATACAGAAAATTTTACTAATCAATTAGGCATAATATTATTTTCATCCACTTGTTAGTTGCTCTCTTCTCCTCTTGTTTTGGTATAAAGAGATTTTTCACATAACATGTTTTCATCAATGTGGCCATAATGAATACATAATGTCTACAAAGTCGATTTACTTATCATGCTAACCCGATGGATCAGCACCCAGCTCTATCAACACACTTTTAGCAAATGCCAATTCCTCATAGTTATGTCCCTGAGTAATTCACCTAAAAGGAGATCCTTACTGTATGAAATATCTGCAGTTGTTAATGTTTTGTTTGTAATGACTAGCCTTATTAATAATCTTTCCTTTATCTTTTTTACCTAGCCACATTGGTGACTGGTAATAATATCTGGTTACTCTCAGATGTCCTTTGAAACACTGACTTTCTTACGAAGGAGAAGGAGGAGGGGGAGGGGGAGGGGGAGGAGGGGAGGAGGAGGAGGAGGGGAGGGGGGGAGGAGGAGGAGAATAGGAGGAGGAGGAGGAGAAGGGGAGAAGAAGGGGGAGGGGGAGGGGGAGGGGAAGGAGGAGGAGGAGAAGGAGAAGGAGAAGGAGAAGGAGAAGGAGAAGGAGAAGGAGAAGGAGAAGGAGAAGGAGAAGAAGAAGAAGAAGAAGAAGAAGAAGAAGAAGAAGAAGCAGAAGAAGAAGAAGAAGCTGAAGCTGCCACCTAAGGGATCTGTATGTAAAAACCTGAACTCACTAGACAATTTTGTTTCAAGCATCTCTAGAAACTGACCAACTCTCAATTTACAGTTGGTTGCCTATTATGCATTTTCTTAAAAAGCACAAAAATTAGAACTCAATAAGACTAAATATCCTCGTTATAACATGATGAACTATAAAAATGCTGAGTTACTAGCTCAAAGTAGAGTGCTCATTCTTCCAGTGTTGCCCATCCCTTTTCACATTCCTACTTTTATAGAGCTGTGGTTAGAACTCCAAACTCTACAGCCTGACCACCTGGATTTAAGTCCCGTCTCTAGCACTTACTGTCCTGAAACTTTGCACACACTCTCAACTGACATAAAATAAGGAAAATAAAAGTACCTCCCTTATGGGGCTGGTGGTTAGAATCAAACTGGTCAATACATACATAACTACCTGAAATAGTTCACAGCACACAGTAAGTTCTCAATAACTGTTAATTATTACTACACGATGAAAGTAAAATTGTCTTTCTTAGGGCTACCAATGAATACCATTTCCTTCAACCATCAAAGCAAAATGGCTGAGGAAATTTTCAAAAGTGAATCACTTAACCCACTTTTGGAGTGAAATAATGGTGACTATTTCCTGCGAAAATATTAATAGAAAGCCACACTGTATGGCTCAAAAGTTTTTTAGCTCTATTTAAAAATATTTAAGAAACCGTCTATAATTCCAGTAATAATAGCCAAGCTTTACTGATCACCTACAATGAGTGGATTGAGCACTGTTGGCAAAATAATGCTGCCCCAGGTGTCCACATCCTCAGTCTCAGAACCTGTGACTATGTTACCTTACATACCTTACATGGCAAAAGGGATGTTGCAGATGTCAATTAAGGAATGTGAGGTGGAAAACCTATCCTGGATTACTCAGGTGAGCCCAAGGTTCTTACAAGCAGAGAAGGGCGGTGAGGTAGTGTGTGCCAGAGCCACAGCATGAGAAAGATTCAACGAGCCATTGCTCATTTTGAAGAAAGAAAGGAACCACAAGCCAAGGAATGCAGCAAGCCTCGAAAAGCTGGGGAAATAGGGAACAGAGTGTCTCCGAGAGCCCCTAGAAGGAATGCAGTACAACCAACACACTAATGTTAGCCCAGTGAGACCTATTTTGGACTTCTGACCTCCATGATTCTAGGATAATTTGTGTTGTTTTAAGCTACCAAGGTTGTGATCATTTGTTATAGCAGTCACAGGAAACAAATACAAGCACCTTGCTCAGTATCCTCACTTTAGCCATCTCCCAGGTCAGCCTCCCAAGAATCCTACAAAATCTCTATATATAAAACCCTAATATGCAAATAGACCGAACAGCGGAACAACCAAACAACCAGGGGGTGCGCACGAAACATGGCAGGCATCCGCAGCAGGTGGCAGGGTGTGGAACATGGCGGGCATCGGCCACGGCGGGATGGTGGAGCAGGTGAGAGGGGGTGCCAGACCAAGGAGGGGCGCTGGTTGCTGTCATCATGACAAGCCTCTGGTGGTTACTGAAAATTCTTTGCTCCCATACGCTGTGGTCCCGCCCAGCGCTTGCACCTGCTGCCGGCCCTGATCACCCCAGAGGGCTTCTCCACCTTCCTGTGCTCCTGAGGGGTGATCAGGGCAGCAGCTGCTGCTCGCACCCACTGATGGTGCTGGCCCCACTCACACCTGCTGGCAGCACCAGCCCCAGCTGCTCTGCACTATCAGCAGGTGTGAGTGGCAGCGGCAGGAGCGGGGCTGCCGGCAGACAGGGGCCCAGGCGCCACGGCAGGAGGGGCCGAGCAGGGGCACAGAGGATAGGCCAAAACCTGCCCCTGTACCCACCGCAGCCTCTCGGCCCACAGTTCCTTTCAAGGTACACAAATTTGTGCATTGGGCCCCTAGTAGATTCTATAATTAACTCTTCTTCATAGAGTTTCAGAGAGAAGGAAACTGAAGTTTGCAAGAGTTGTGTAACTTACCCAAGAATTGAGTTGGGACACAACACATACACATACACCTACAGACACTTCTCACTTTGGGCAAGATATGTACCTTCGCCCTAACTGGTTTGCCTCACTGGATAGAGCGTCGGCCTGGGGACTGAAGGGTCCCAGGTTCAATTCAGGTCAAGGGCATTGGTTGTGGGTACATCCCCAGTAGGGGGTGTGCAGGAGGCAGCTGATCGATGTTTCTAACTCTCTATCCCTCTCCGTTCCTCTCTTTAAAAAATCAATAAAATATATTTTTAAAAAAATCAACCACCATATGCATGTAAACAAATTTATCTTCCTATTGCATGAGTTTGAAGTGAATTCCTGTCTTTATATCTCTAGCCATGTGGTAACACATTTACTTTGCATTTTCTCTGTGCCAGAAACTTTGTATTTACTCTCTGCTGAGAACACAAAATCTAGAGAGAGGTACTTATCGTCAAGATGTTTATAGATTAGTTGAGGGAGACAGCCATGTCGTCTAAAAATACAAACCATGCTGCAAATGCTTTGAGAATGATAT